TGGATAAAACATGAGAAATAAATCAAACTTTCTCCACTTGTTTCAGTTTTTTTCCAGTACTGTGGGAACCTGAAGCTCGCTGTGTGGGAACCAATAAATCCTCCTGCCGCTGATGTTGGGCTTAGAACCAGAACCGTTTCCCTCAGAGCCCATGATGATGAATAAAAGCAGCGATCAGGTTATGGAGGAGAAAGGAAACCGCTTCCACTCACCGCCGCGCAGTTGGAGATCATCCCGGTCCAAACGGAGCCTCTCTATCCGGTGGCCGTTCCTACCAGCGGACCGAGTCAAGGACAAACTTTGGACGGGGCAGGAAGGCTTCAGCACGGCGACCATCGCTCTCTGGCCATTGCTGCTGTCCGCCGCAGTTGTAGAGTTTCAGCAACCGAGTAACGGCCCGTTCCGCTTTAACGGTGACGTCAGGAAGGACTGAGAACGTCACTGTCCATGGAAGCGAACCGCCTCCTACACCGTCACCATGGCGACGGGAGTAAACATCAGAGAATCCTTTCATTGAAAATATTTGGCCTCGGATGGCTGCCCTGCTTCTTCTGTAGAGGTTTGGTTTATTGGAGAGGGGAGGAATGAAAGCAGCAGCTTCATGGGAAAACAGTTCATTGCAATGAAAAAAAAATTATATATATATATATATATATTCTTTTCTTTTTTATGTATACTTGGCAATAGTATTTTAGAATGAAGTAGGGAAATGTGCAGCTTATTTGTATATATTCATTATGATATGGGAATGATTATGTGCTGCTGTAATAGTTTTTATAAACAAATGTTTCAGTAAATCCTGTAGGCTTTTTTTTTTATTTTTTATTTATAATTATTTTTTAACCTGCTGGCCTCTGGTGACCTCCAACTGAACACACTTTGTTGGTGTTGGAAGAACTGCAGCATCTTGCTGCTAACACTAAATGCCCCTGACTGACTTCCTTCATTCCTTCTTCCCTCCCTCCCTCTGTAAATAGAGGTGAATATGCATGATTTAAATGAATACATTTTGTTCAAGCTTTGTCATAGGACTATTTTTGATTCTGATTATTTATGTGGTATAGGATGCCTCTAGAAAAGGGTGGCTGTTGTCTTATTTGTCAAGAGGAGGCCTGGCTGTAGAGCTGCATGAGTCTAAAGTTTTGTTTTTTCTGGTAGATCAGCAGACAAACTGTTGGAAAGTTGGAGGTGTAACATTGTCAGACATGATTCAATACAACATATTGCAACTAATGCATCACAACTGATGACATCACAAGCAGTGTCTACATCAGCAGAGGGGAAAATGTATCAGACCTCCAAAATAAAATAATAGAGATGAAACTAGATGACACCATCTGTGGTTCACAGGCATGGCCAATCCTCCTCCTCAGCTTTTACCAGCCTTCTTTGAATCTGTTTGCTCATATGGTCAGAAAGACGCTGGAGTTTTAAAGAAAAAATATTACTTACTATTACTACTATCCTCGATACTCTACCTTAGTGGTTACTGTGGCTTTGAGTTTATCTAACAGAAGAAACGATATCTTGAATTTCTTCCTTTTCTCCTTTCCTTGCTGCTGCTGTGTCCCTAATGCCTCCTTTACAACAAATTTGGGACCTAGGGATGTAGTTATGGGGTTATATTATTTAAGATAATAATCACCTGCGCCTGGTTTAAAAAAACAACAACAATGAATTGGTATGGAAAATCATCACAATGGAACCAAAATACTACTTTTAAGGCTAGGCTTAAAACTTTCCTTTTTGATAAAGCTTCTAGTTAGAGTGGCTCAGGTTATCCTGATCTATCTCTATAGTTCTGCTGCTATAGGCTTAGACTGCTGGAGGACATAGGGACCCCTTTTTCATCATTCTGCTTCATTCTATCTCTATGCCATCCTGTCCTCCTCTGCATCTGACTCCGTCGTCTCCCACTGACTGATGTCTGCCTTCAGCACCATG